ACAAAGTTGCGAGAACAAATCGTTAAAAAAAGAAAAAAGAAAAAGAGGTCAGCCCATCAGGCCCCACAACCCGAGATCGCAGAAGCCCAACAACCGATCCAGGCCCCACAACCTGGTCCAATCCTTTATTGGCCCGTAGGCTTTATGGCCCAATTCAATTGGAGGGGGGATGACGCCCCAGCGTATCCCTCTCTTACTCTTTCACTTCTCACATGGGCTGAAGCCCAGCCATCCACAAGTAGCCCAGGAATGAGGTATAAGCCTCCCTTCCTCTCTCCAACACGGGCCCAGGCACAACTGCCCAGACCCAAGCGCCCCAGCACCCTAGCCTAAGCCAGACATGCGCCGAGCCCTAGGCTCGCGCCATCAGCCTTCGGCCCAAGCCGAGCATCGCTACACCATGCCACCCACGACAATAGTGCCATGGCCTTTCCAAGCCATCTTTTCACACATCCTCGACCTCTGTTGAGCCAAATTTCAAGCCTCGAAGCTCCCAAAAATTACGAAGACAATGAAAAATTAATTTTTTCTTACCTTAGTGTAGCGTGAAGACGAAGAAAGCAACAAAAGACGGTCCTTTGCACGGGCAAGTATAGAAGATTGCTAGGGGAGGGGAACAAATATCCTCTAGCCTTCTCTTTCTCTTGTAGGGTAGAATAAATTGCTCTTTGAAGTTGATTTAATCATCTACTTAAGGTAGACTTAAATAGACTTTGGAAGTGATTGATTTCCCTTTCCTAGAATGATCTAATTTCCAATTAATGTGAGAATCTACATCAAAGTAGGAAACAATCTTATGTTTCCTAAAGCAAGGGAAGATCTCTACACCTATTGCCATTTCCTGCGAGCAGCCCAACATGTGTGGGGGCATTTGTGGAGCAAAAAATAATCAAGAAAATTATGGAGGTGACACGTGTACTTTTGGATGAAAATGATCAAATTATCCTCTACGCACAACGGGATTCCCACAAGCATGCAACAGACAATAACGGTTCAGTCAAGGAAGGGTTAAAGGTATGATCAAAATGATATTTATTCAAATCTCTCTCATCACTCCTCATCAAATCCTTGCTCAAAAGGTAACTCGCAATTTTCCTATTCCATTTAAGATTAATTGCCAAGTTATTATTTCACATAACATCTTGCAATTATACTCACAATGTGACCATATGTGGCCGGCCCCTATTCTCCAAATAGGGCCGGTCACTCCCCAATAAATAGCCATGTTTTCCTATTAAAGCTAAGTCATTCTCTACCCACAAATTCCTAAACACTTTCTCTTTCAAATTCTAACTTTGGTATTGGAGATTCTACGGCAAAGGCCCCTCCCCCCCCCCACCAAAAAAAATCATCATGGGCGCGTGAGGCTTTTGGCCTTAATCTTTGGTGTTATTATTTTGTAAGTGCATTTTCATCAAAGGAGAAGACGGCTGGAATTTGCATCTAGAGAGACTATAATTTTTGGTAGGTGGCCTTCAGTTGTGCCTTGAGGTAATTTGCACAATTGTAGTAGTGACCTCACTATATCAGATGACGTGTGTGTATTCATTGAAGGAAACAAAATATTCCTATGCTCTGGTCGTTTGAGTGGCAAACATACAAAGAGAACCGTGTATGAGCCCCGGGCAAGTTAAAGAAAAATGAGATGATCGTTCGAGCCCAAGTTTAGCTTCGAAGTTATTAGACCGAAGTCGTGTTACTTTTGCATAAATAAAAATGGATAGGCCTCTTAGCAGGCCATATTTTTATTTATGGCCGCCCATGCCTTTAGCTAAATCTTTTTGCTAGTCAGACAAAAAAAATACCAATTTCGAGCAAAACATTAATTTCACGTTAGCCAAGTTTACGATTACTTGATTAACTTAAAAAAATGGAGTGACATCGGCGCAAAATAAAAGCGAAGATGCAAAGTTGCACACTTGCAAGTTTAGACAAACAATGAGATATTTTGTATCACAGGGGACATAAGTCCTTTTTTTAAAGGGCAAAGTAGATGTTTATCAGCTTTTTTCGGGGAACTCATCAAACGTTTTGGGTACGATTTGAAGCATTCATAGGAATTTAGAAACCAGTAAATTTCGTAAAACGTTGTTGTTTACTCATGTATTAATACTACTAAGTCAAGAACTTATTGATATCTGTTTTTTATTTTTGGTAAGAGATGGGCAAAGTGACGCTATATATAACAAATTTGGTTTGACCTTAAGCCTTCAACATAATCAGTCTGGATATAAGCACAATATCAATAGAAAATACATGAGCATAAGTGGAATTACAAAGTTACAGACCTTACTTCTCATAGGAGTTGAACTTACTCACAAATAATTCCTATATTGATATGATTTCAAATAATACATATGAATTCACGTGATAAAAGAGATAATCACATTGATGCAGCACCGCTTGAATACCCCACTCTAGAAAAAAATCTCTCATGCTACTAGCTTTATTCCCTTTGTTATAGTGAAGACTTTAAAACTTCCATTGACGAATGATAAAAAAAGGAGCATAATTGGTGGATCACATGGGAAATGTGAAAGTGTAATCAACAACCACCCTCAAGAAGCTTCAAAAGTCACACAATTGTCCTTTTGTTAGCCAAAAACAAAGTCATATTCGTGTTTAATAACCCATTTGGCTTCTTTAGACCATTTGCAAAGTTGAGGGTTTAGCTTAAATTTGAAGCTTTAAAACCCGCCAAGCCATTTCTAATCATTGGGTTATAATAAGTTTTGGGGAGAAAAAAATAATTTTGGACCAAGTTCCCTCCAAAATTTAAGCCAAGATAGTGGGCGAGCCCCAGCTATGCGCCCATGATATGGCTTAATAAATTTTGACTTAAGTTGTTAAGCTTTATTCTGCACCATTGCACATGGTCTTATGTGGTATCTTGGTTCCCCTTTAGGATAAATTGTAGGTATGCATTTCAGCAATCTTCCATGTGATATTATTAGCTCGTTTTGAAGTGTTTTTAAAATAACTGAAAATTTTTTTAGTGAAAATGTTTTAGAAACTAATACTTAGTAAAAAATCAAGTGGATCATAAAAAATAAAAAAAAACACTTGAAATGCTTCCTGCAAGAAGCACCAGAAGCACATATCTGGTGCTTCTTCCAAAACAATAGTTAAAGTGGCCTTGGAATCCAAAATCAATTTCACCAAAAGTGTTTTCAATCATTCCAAAAACATTTCCAAATGAGGCATATACTTTTTGCCAACCTCAAATCTCAATGGTATAAAGCACACACGATCATGCATTATTTTTTTCATCGTATAAAAGTCTTAATTCGAATAATATTCTACTTTCATCATTTGAAGATCATTTCTAGAAAAAAAAATAATCGATTTGGAGCACTTAGCCATTCATTTGAGTTAAACATGTTAATAATTAGTCATGAAGATATTACATATAATCATAATCATCGATTTATTTTGTATTTATGAATTGCTAGTCGTCTCCAAATTAAAATAAACATTTTATAGGCATAATTTTTAAATAATGATAAAGAATCTAAACATTTCAATTACTATAAGATAAAATTATAACACATCCTCAAAGTAGGAATGAAACCAAATACGATCCTATACGCATTGAACATATTTTAAACAAAATTTATCATAATCTACACAAAATAATATGGCGTTTTTTATTCACACCCCATAATTTGTTGAAAACATCCCATAATTAAATTTTTTCCCTACAATTCCAACTTTACCCTTCCTTTTGTTGAATTCACCCCACCTCCCAAATACAAAAAATCTAACACAGCCACCCACCCACCACCACCACCCTTCTCCCGTGATTCCATTCAACCTAGCCAAAACACAAAATTGAAATTTCATGCAGTTAGCTATACACTTTATAAATCTAAACTAGCTTATCAGGGAAAGATAAAAATTTCATTTCAACATCCAAACAGTCTATCATGGAAATGATGAAAATGGGTTTTTAATAGTTTTATAGGCTTCATTTTCATCCATAATCGCAATAGCCCAATGCATGTGTGATCATTCCCCTCAATCCTATGTCAGATGCCAAACAAAAGCATAACTATGAAAGAAAGAAAATTAAGATTGAATGGGGTCATCGGCGAAGTTGTTGTTGTGGTTGTGGGGTGGGTAGTTGTGGGATTTTATTGTTTGTTGGTGGAGGTGAGGTGAATTCAACAAAACGAAGAGTAAAACTGGAATTGAAAGAAGAAATTTTGAATGTGAAGTGTTGTCAACAAATTATAGGGTTTAAATAAAAACAACCAATAATATCTTAATTTATTCTAACTTTAGTTAGTGGAAAAAAAAAATAGGTAAATGGTTTTAGAATTAGGAACTATTGCAAAACAAGTGGCACACATGACTGCCAATCACACTAATCATTGAGGTTGCCCTTGCCCCAATTGCGGTTATAACTTTACACTTTCGGTTGGTAGTTAAAGGCATCCTATCGTTTAACACTTTTAAACTATGGATGTGATTTCAATAATAATACAATAAAAACTTTGGATGTGATGTGTCCATTAGAGTAAGTTGAAGCTCGAAAGCCAAGCAGAAGCTGCAGAACATATCTTTTCCGTAAATAGATTTTATTTGGATCTTTTCCTTCAAAATTCAAGATTAAGTGATTCCGTTCTTTAAAATTTGATCAAACGGTAAAAAATTATTATAACTTTTAAAAGTTTTTATTAATTTCTCTGTTTTTAGCCTTTAAATCAAATTTCAAGTATCTGAATCACTTGATGTCTGAATTTTGAAAGGAAAGATCCAGAAAATATCTCTTTCCATTTTTTCCGTCACACAACTGCTACCAGAGTATATCTTTTTCGTTATTGAGGAATTTTGAATTGCGATAGGAACACAACCTGTTCATCAAACAACCGTCGGAACACAATACACATATGGAGAAATGTCCTCAACTTTCCAACAGATGCTAACAACATTCTCATCTTAAATCCAATGCTAGATTTATGAAAATTTTGCAAGAACAGATTGACACAGAAAAAGAGAATAAGAGAACTGAAGAACTACTGGGTCTGATCATTTAAAGTTTAACCAAACAGAAAAGAGAAAACACCAACTGAATTGGGTATGTACATTTTCTCTTTTCAATTAGAGTTTCTGTACTCAAATAAACAAAAATTAACACCAAAAATGAAGAGGGGGGGAACAGAGTAGATAAGCAATGCATATACTTCAGCACAACCTTATAGACTGAAGCCATTAGGCTATTAGCTATATACTCCTACGAAAAGGAACGCTTCTAGTAACTATACTAATCCACTTTCCAAGATCGAAAAAAAAAACCAAAAAAACCATCTTCCAATTCTTCATGGCTCATTGAGCAATATGACGCCAGTGAAAGAGAATTTGTGACTGGTGAGTGCCCAAGTATTATTACATGATGGGCGCTGAGGGTTTACCGCCTTGGTCCAAAACCTCAAGCACCTCAGTCCTGCTCCTCACCACCCTATGAAACAACTCTCTGATCTGCATCTGCAAAGGCACCAAACCCTCCTCCATCCTCCTACAGCTCTCCACCAGCTCTGCCACCTGCGCGGCCACCTCCTCCAGCTTCTCCGCCTCTGCGGGGAACTGAAACGAGTCCGAAAATTCAATCAAAGACTGCCCCAATTTCTCCATCCTCTGCATCTCCTCAAGCAAACCAGCGGACCCCTTCTTCTCTTTCTTCTTCCACTCCTCGGCGATCTTCTCCTGAATCCCGATCATGGACTGCGCCCAAGATAAATTCCTCGGAACCGGAAGGTGAGTCATCAACCCGGTCCTCTCTTGACACGGAATTGCCGCCACCAACATCCACATCACAAACACCATAATCGTGCTCATTATATAAACTGGCTGAGCCAATCCAGAAGCCTCATTGCCTTTCGGCGCCACCAAGTTGCTCGACATCGCTTGAATTTGCTTTGCGGCGGACCAGCCTTTAGACATACCCCACGACAAGGCCCGAAAATGCCCGACAGCTCGGTCTTTACTCGGGGCGGAAATGCCCTGTCTGCGGCCGAAAGACCAGGTTCTCTCGGTGGCTTTGTTTCCACCTCCTTCCTTGTCCTCCACCGCCATCCCTGTTACCAGCGAATGCAACGCCCTCTTAGCCCTCCGAACCTGGCCATCCCCAAGCGGCCTCTGTTCCAAAGCAGAGACTGCAATCTCGGCCAGCTTCTGAAAATGCCTGACCGACTCGATCCCATGGGAGACCGCGTTGCAAATGTCCAGAGCTTTGACAACGCGGTCCAAGAATTCAGGGACAAGCCGGTCGAGCGGTGCCTTGGAAATCTGTGATGGGTCCCGACCCATCAGCAGAACGGCCTTGAACTCGGCCTCGCAGCAGAGGAAGACGTCGAGGAGCTTCCGGACCCAAGCGATGGATAAAATTGGGTCGGACGGGCAGTCCTCCGGCGGAGATAGGAGGTCGGAGAAACGATCCGCCACGTGCTTCTGGAAGTGTTCGAGGTCTTCGAGTTCCTGTTCGTGGTTTCCGTCCATGGAAACCACCTGGTTTCGTCGGATACTGATTCGGTTCAGAAACGAACCCTGATTATCTGTTGCGCCCATTTTCTGGATTTTCGATTTTGTTTGTTTCTCCTGAGATTGAAGAGTTAGAAGAAGAGAGAAATGGGAAGCAGATGGAGAGAGAGAGAAAGCGAAGGAGGAGAGAGAGAGTAGTGTCGAAAGATAAGGGGAGTCGGGTGGTTTTTGGCAGTTACATACGCTGCGAAATAAATGGGGTCATGGATTGTCGGGGATGAGACCGTTTCTCGTTCCTTTTTGTGGACGCTGACTGGGGGATTTTGTTCCAAGTTTAGCCTTCATCTTCCCTCTTAATTGCAAACCCAATGCAAAACAATAAACATGTTTCAAATATGATCAGTTGGTGTAGCTGCATTTCGTTGAAAGAGATATGAAGTTTTGCTCATATGCATGCAAGAACGATCTTATATATATATAGTGAGTTTGATATTACGTTATTGTCGATGTAAATTTTCATCGTCTTCAGTCTTGACGAAATGTACCTGCAAAACAATCAACACCTTTGATCAAAGATCTACGCCTCACTCGCCCAAGAGGTAGGGGGGTTAGGTCAACGGATCTCCTATGCCTAAGTTAGTTTCTCTGAGAGAGTAAAGTGTTTAGGGCTTTTTTAGGGTTGCAAAAGCTTTGAAAATTTGGTAGAATATGGGGTATTTATAGGGTTAGGGCCGGCCATATAGTGTTTACTAGAGAGATATTCTATAAATATTTCCAAGATATTTAATAGGAGATAATATCTTGAGATAATGGGGTAATTATCCCTAATTGATTTAAATTAAGATTACTTACTTAATTGGAGTCAATCTTCAATTAGGAATGTATTAAAGATATAATTTGGGTAATTAATCCTTATCATTAATTCTTTACCAAGGGTAGGTGAGTTGTGGGCAGTTGTGTTTAGCTGTTACGGCCTCTAGGGGTGTGAGCTGCGCGTGGGAGCATCTGAGGAGCCTGCCCATTTATTGAGGGCAATCTTGTCTTCTTTGAATAAAATTTCACGTGTCGCCTCTAGAATATTTGGGCCAGGTCGAGGGGATCGACGAGCTGGGGCACGGGGAGATCGGCTTGGGCTTGGTCTTCAAGGCTGCTGGACACGAGCTCGTGAAGGCAAGAAGAGAGGGAAAGAGATCGACGTGGGCCAGCTTTCTTGCGTGTGCAACTTGGGCCAAGAGGCTTGGGCCTGCCTAGGAGGCGCTGGGCGTGGAACAAAGAGGGGAAGGAGACGCTTGCCTCCCACCATGCCACATCTTTTCCAGGAGGTGATCTGCTCCATGAAATGCGCGCCTACTCAATGTTCCCCAAATGCAGTTCGTGCAATGATGGGGTTCTCGAACTTGAGCAAGTTCTTTGATCTTGGCTTGACTATACATGAGTTATGTTACTTCTTTGAGATTGGCCACAAGGAAGGTGTAGGGCAGCTGAGGTCTCACCATAGGCTACTCGATGCTTCTAGCAAAGGTGATTATGAGTGGGTGAGAGATACCTTTGAGGTGAGCGAAGAGTGGGAGTCTGACTATTCTCCTGAGCTGCATGTCCTGACTACCTTTATCAATCGTAAGTGAACTGCTTCATTCTTGTCCTGCTTGAATTTTTCTTAAATTGCTTTATGACTTCTATTTATTGATCGTCTTTCTTACTTTGCTTAGATTCAGAGTTTGGCTCAACTTTAAGGACTTCACCAGTTATGAAAAAAGTGCATGTCGCCTTGAGCATTCCTGCTGAGTACTGTGAGTGGTCTGGCTGCTCAGCCGTTTTCGTCGGGAGAAAGGTGGCCTGCCTCCGAAGGAAGAGATAAAGCGAATAAAGAACGAGAAGTTGGCTTGCCCGATCGCTACTGTAAAGCCTGCTGCCAATGATGGTGGAAAGAAAAGGTCTTCCTCACCTACTTGTAAGACTTCGGCTGAGAAGAAGCCAAACACTTCTTTTGCTGCTCGTGGGAGCTCGTCTTCTGCCAAGAAGTTTGTCATTGATCTAATTTCCCTCAAAGGGACAAAGAAGATTGTTGAGCCTAAGCCTGTGAAACCTGCTGCTCCGAAGGTGACCGCATCCATTGCTAAGAGACTTGCCGAGCGGAAGGGTTCAGTGACGTCTTCGGTGTTCGGGTTTGTATCGAAGCGTCCATCAGAAACTAAGTCTCAATCGGCTTTTGAGAGGTTCACTGCTATAAAGAGCGGGAAGATGGATTATGTGCGAAAGTGGCGTCTGGGCCTGCTCCTCCTTCTACCATGACTGAATCGTCTGCTGAGAAGAGGAAATCTGCTTACACGGGCAGTTGTGAGAGATTCACTGAGTCTGAGGCTGGAGAGTTTCCCAAGGTTTGTGCACTGCTGAAGGTTGACCTACTTGAGGACGTTGATGCATGCACCAAGTTTGTTGACAGTGTTGGGAAAGTTGTCGTCCACTAAGACTCTTTTGCGAAGCGTCCTGCCTACTCGGGAAAGTCTCCCTTGATTGCTACAATGCATAAGACTTTGATCCTGGCAACCAAGTCTATGCACGTTGATCAGGATGCTGTCAAGTGTGCTAAAGAAACCGAAGTGGCGTTGGTGGCTTAACTTCGCTCGGCTGCTGAAAATATCTATAAGCTCGAATCTGAACTCGCAGTTTTGAAAGGGTCTAATGTTTCTACCCCTACTTCTTTATAGCTGAAGATCGCTCATCACAAGGTGGCCCATTTGAATGCTAGGCTTAGTGCGACTTAAGCGATGTTGGAAGCTGCAGATAAGGAAATTCGTCGTGTTTCTCCAGTGGTCGAGGACCTTGAGCGTGTCAATTCAGAGCTACGATCTGCTTGCTTTGTTAAGGACGATGAGCTTGTCTTTAAACATGTTGAAGTGTCTTGTCTCAAAAAGGTTGCCAGTAAGCTTAAGTCCAAGGAGATGAATCTGCAAGGTGCGTTGTCTACTAGCGAGAACCTGAAAAAAGGAACTGGATAAGTTACAGGGTGCTCACACTGGGCTTGTTGATGAGAATGCGCAGCTGAAGAATGAGAAAGTTGGTCATGAAGTGGCACTTGCTTCTTGTCAGGCAGATTTCTACAAGCTTGGCTATGTAGACCATCTTCAAGGTAGGCTGTCGGATTATGAGTTTTCCGAGAAGGACTTCGATAATTTTTCCATTTCTCTAGTTGATCTGCTTGATTTCTTATTTGAGGCTGCCTTTGGTGGGGCAGTTGAGGGTCAGGCAGTCCAGGCAGAGACGGCTGAGGATGAGCAGATGGAAGTTTTGGCTGCTGGGAATGGCACAACTGCTGAATGCGTGGCAGTCGAGGAACCTGTGGTTGTGCAAGCTATTAAGGAGTAGTCTTTTTGCTTAAACTTAGGAGTTTTCTTATTTTCCTTTTTGTTCAGCTTTATTTGAACTTTGCTGGCCTTCAAGCCGGTTTATCAATTTGCTAGAAATTTAATAAACAACTTTCCTTGTTTTTGCTTCATCCTTTTATTTCGCCATGTCTTTAGCAAAACTTTACAGTAAGACGATAAGCTGGGTGAGCTGCTTCAACGAAGCAGTTGATCCCACGTCTTCACTTAGGTTTTAGTTTCAGCTTCGGGAGCCTTGCATGCTTAAGGCATCTGGCAAAACTTTACCGTAGGACGGGCAGTTGAGTTGGCTACTTCAATGGAGCAGTTGACTCACGCGATCACTTTAGGCTTCAGTTTTGGCTTTGGGGCTTCTATAGTTTTACGTGCAAAAGGAAGAAATGCGAGATTTCCAACTTATAGAGTCGACAGCCAAACTCGTTGTGTTCAACTATAGCTATGAATCTCGGTTTTGGGTAGCTTCATGAGCTTTAGCCCTCCTGGGGCTATTGTGAAATTTTTTTTAACCTATAGGGCCGGCGATCGAACACGTGCTTTGCATAGAAAGCAGAGGAGTTCTTTTGGCCACTATGGTTGTATTTCGGCTTTCAAGTGCCTTCTTGAGCTTTAGCCCTCCCGGGGCATGTTGCTAAATTTTTAACTTATAGAGTCGTCGGTTGGACTCATGCTTCTCGTCGGAAGCAGAAGAGGTCCACGTAGCTGCTATAGTGTTGACACTCAACTTTAGTAGCTTCTTGAGCTTTGGCTCTCCCGGGGCGTGTGGCGAGATTTTTAATTTATAGAGCCGTCGGTCGGACTCATGCTTCTAATAGGAAGTAAATGAGGTTCGCGTAGTTGCTATAGTCGTGACACTCGACTTTAGTGGCTTTTTGAGCTTTGACCCTCCTGGGGCATGTTGCTAGATTTTTAACTTATAGAGTCATCGGCCAAACTCATGCTTTTCGTAGGAAGCAGAGGAGGCCCGCATAGCTGCTATAGTCGTAACACTCGACTTTAGTGGCTTCTTGAGCTTTGGCCCTCCCGGGGCATGTTGCCAGATTTTTTACTTATAGAGCCGTCAGTCGGACTCGTGCTTCTCATAGGAAGCAGAGGAAGTCCACTAGCTGCTATAGTCGTGACACTCGACTTTGTCCCAGCAAAACTTAAACCATAGATCGTCGACCGGAAGTACTGCTTGTAAATAAGCAAGCGAGTTCGCGTAGTCATAGAAGGTGTAAGTTTTGGCTTACGAGCTGCCTTGGGCTTTTAGCCTTCTAGTTGTCAGCCAGGTGTCTTACTTACAGAAGCATATGAACTGCGTAATCACTTCAGGCTTCATCCCTGGCTCTCGGAAGCCTTTTTTGGTGTGAAGTGTAGGCAAAGTCGGTCTTGAGAGGTCATATCCTTCCGAGTCGCAGCTTTGGTTCCGTAGGTCGCTTAACTAGTATTGTAACACTTTAAAACCAAGCCGCTTTATGAAGATTTTTACGTCGAGGATGGACCATCTTGTCATGCAAATTCTTTCATAGGCAGGGGTCTTGCACTTAGCGTCTCTTTCGGTTAGAGACCTGGGATCCCACAGAATTAAATCTTTCTGTTGGCTAATCTATTCCAGGGGAAAAGCTATCATGGCCAATTTTGGGAGTCGTCCAGTGTAGGTAGTCAATGCATTCAGGGGGAACTGAGCAGTTGTACAACCTATCCACGTCTGGATATTCTGGAATAGTTTACCCTTTCACACTGGAGAGCAAACCCTAGATGGGTGTCGGGGAATTAGTTTACCTTCTCGCGCTAGAGAGCTTACCCATATAGGTGTTGGGGAATTAGTTTACCCTCTCGCATTGGAAAGCTTACCCAGATGGGTGTTGGGGAATTAGTTTACCCTTTTGAGCTGGAGAGCTTACGCCATGTCTGCGGCGTATCGGGCGTCTTCTGCTTATCACAAGGTTGGTCAGTTTGTTTATGCATTGGCCTAGGCTTGTGAATAATTCCTTCAATCTTCATTGAAAATAGAGGCTTTTATTAGCTTTGTTCATAGGTAGTAATGGCATAAGAATTGATAATTCTCGGTATACGAGGTCTTGTTCGTTGAGCTGCTTGAATCTTCGAACTTTTTTCATCTTGAACGGGGTCCAAGGAACAGTAGGAGGTCACACGTACTTTCTTAAGTTGTAGGCATTCCATTGCTTATTAATTTCTTTGTCACTAATAGTGGTGAGGGTGTAGCTGCCTCTTCCGCCTACTTGGCTGATTTTGTACGGACCTTCCTAGATGAGAGCCATCTTTTTAGAGCCTTCTAATCAAGTGGTCATGAAGGATTTTATGAGGACTAAGTCTCCTGGCTGGAACTACCTGATTTTTACCCTCTTGTTATAGTTGGAGATGAGCTATTACTGATAGACCATAATGCGGCTGATAACCTTATCCTGCTCTTCCTCTGCCAGGTCTAAGTTGGTGGCCATCTCCTTTTCGTTTTGTTCAAAATTCGGTAATACAGTATGGATGTTTGGCACCATGACGTTGGGAGGGATGATCGCCTCAAAACCATAAGCCAGGGAGAATGGAGTTTCGTCAGTTGCTCATCTGGCCACATACCCTTCTTGTCTGAAAGGTACTTCTTAAGGCAGTCAATGATGATCTTGTTGGATGCATCGGCCTGCTAGTTGCCCTGCGGATATTGGGGCATGGACATGTGCTGCTTGATGCCATATTTTATGATGAACTTCACCAAGTCTTTGTCCACGAACTACAGACCATTGTCGGTGACGATGGAGTGTGGGATGCTGAGGCGGCAGATGATGTTCTTCCATATGAAGCGTTCTATGTCCGTCTGGGTAGTAGTAGTCATGGGCTCGGCTTCAACCCAATTTGTGAAGTAGTCAGTTGCTACAATCATCATGCATCTGCCCCTAGTGGCAGGCGGCATTGGTCCTACCAAGTCGATCGCCCACTGCATGAAAGGCCAAAGGCTCGTCTGCGGGTGAAGTTCGTTGGAAGGTAGTGCGGGCACGGGCTTGAAGCACTGGTAGCTGTCGTACTTTTGTACATACACCTGGGCGTATTGATGCATGGTTGGTCAGTAATAACTAGTGTTGAGAGCTTTTTGCCCCAGGGAGCGGTATTCATAGTGGTTTCCATAGACGCCTTCATGGATTGAGCTAAGAATCTTCATGTCGTCGGGAGATGATAAGCAGCGGAGATGTTGTCTTGAGAATGATCTTTGAACAAGTATGCCGCTCCATATGTAGTAGCATGCTGCCTTCATTTGGAGCTTTCTGGACTCCAGTCTACTTGCGGGAAGCGTTCCATTGACTATTTAGTTAATGATGAGATCTTGCCAACTCGGGGTTGTGCTGATCTGCGCTACCTCCATTGCTAGTTCCTCATCTATGCTTGGCCTTTCCAAGTACTCGACTGGAATGCAGCGCCTAAGCTGATGGTCCAGTGCGGAGCCTATGCTTGATAATGCGTCTGCGTGGGCATTTTCTTCTCTTGAAACCTGAGTAAGTGTGTACGCTTGTAACGTTAATAGATGCTCTCGTACCTTCTCGAAGAATCGGGCCATCCTTGGATGCTTTGATGCGTACTCCCATGAGGTTTGGTTAGTGATTACCTAGGAATCAGAATAGATCGCGAGCTTTTTCACCGCTAGGTCTTTCGTCAATCGGAGACCTGCTAGAAGAGCTTTATACTTTACTTCATTGTTTAACGCCTTGAAGTTTAGAGTGATTGCCTGCTCGAGCATTAAACTGTCCGGGGTAGTGAGAACTAGGCCTGCTCCCGATCCCTGGTAGTTGGATGATACATCGATGTGTAAGTGTCAGAAATTTCTTGCAAGTAGGGCTAGTATGGCTATGGTGTACTCGGCTGCCTCTGGGGCGTTTCTGGGTTGACTTGCTGCACTCGTCGGAATGTCTACTAGTTTTCACGCCTTTAACGTCGTGCGTCTAGGTTGTGTGGAATATCGTGTCATGATGATGACTGTATACTTCTGAAGGTACGACTTGAGCTTTCGGGTTGCAACAACTAGCGTCAAAATCAAAGTTTTGATTTTAGGGTATTTGGCTTCCGCATCAATGAGAGCTTTTGAACTGTGTAATACAGGTAGTCGGCCCCCAACTCTTCTCGTATGAGGTTAAAGCTTATTGCTGCTTCAGATACCGCCATATAGATGCATAGATCATTCGCAGCCTCTGGCTTGGATAGTAGAGGAGGTAATGTCAGGTTAGACTTTCGATCTCCTTCAAAGTGGTGAGGGACTTCATATCCAGGATCGCTTAGATCTTTTTTGGATGCCTATTCGGTGTAGTCTGATCGCTTCATAGCGTCAAGGAAGATATGTTTGGCGTCTTCTTCGAGTTCCCATCCTGATTCATCTTCCAGGGCATTGTCGATCTTGACGCCATCTTCTTGACCTGCCTGCTGTAATTGCTATTTAGCAGAGGTATAGTCGTCATTTTGCACTTCAGCTGCTACTACTGGGGCGAAAGACTTCTTTTTGGATTTTGAGCCTGGTAGGGCAGCAGAGCCTCCAGCTGCCCCTAGTGCTGACCTACCAATCCACGTTACTTTTCGGCATGTCTTGCTCGTCTATGCTGCGGTTGCAGTACGGTTCATGTTGTGCTGCTCGCCATCGTGCTTGGCGAGGGCCGCCAGTGGAACTCAAGTTAGATTGCTCTCGTGCTCTCCTTTGGGGTGTCATGCGGCTGCATACTCCGTTGCTTTATAAAATGATCTCCTTGTGGGCCTAGCCTCGTGTAGACGTTTCTCCTGGAATGTCATGAGTGCTAGTCGGAGTGTAAACCCAACTTCAAATGCACACCGACTCGTGAGTTGACTCAGGAATAAACGCTTCTTTGTGCATTTAGGCAGGAGAAGACGTTTCCCCGAGGGTCCAAACAAGAGTGCACATTACCCGAACGTAAGGTTCATGGTGGGCTGAGCGGCTCTTTGCCGGGACGAAGCTGGAATAAGTCACGTTATTCCGCCCTTGTCCTGCTTCAGGACACCTCATTTGGGGCGCACTGCATCTTGATGCGCTCAAGGAGTTGGTTCACCAAGGTAGTCTGCTGCGTGA